AACATTCAATCAATCAATCATCTAAAACATTTCAAAGTGGTGAATTCTGTGTTGACCTTAAGTACAATCTGTTTTTAATTAACTGGTTTGACTTGTTTACTTTCCTGCGAAAGAAAAAACTTCAGGAGCGCTGTGGAAACAATATATTTTGGAAGTGGTGTAAAACATGTGGACACTTAGTACTTAAAAAGTTTGTCCCAAAATGTTGTAGACAAAGAAAACGGTTCAGTTACTCTTCGCTAAATAAAGTTTCGTTTCATGACATAGTAAAAAGCATCATTTCATGATCATGCATGGCTAGTTTGTTGACATCATCACGTTTAAAAAAAGAAAATGATGACAAAATAAAGAAAGCATATAAATGTACCAGCGCACTATGACAAGCTTAAAGAACGTCTCGTATAATGTCATGATCACTTTATAATTTCTGTCCCATGTGCTTAAGATGCGACCCTTAGGCATGCAATTATATTTTTATATTTCAAAAACAACTCTTGAAAGTGGGATTAATTGAAATTCATTATCGTTATAGTTTTTTTACTAAATAAAATTTCAGACGAAATTTAGTGGAAAGATCGCCTTACATTGTATGCAGCAGTATGTAAAACTGATGCATTTAATTCTAACAAAGTGTCAATGTCTTCTTTTTTATGTTTTGCTCATAAGATGTGTTATCGAACATTGACATAAACAATCAGACTTCGTGCAAAGCTTCTGTGAACCATGTTATATTAATTGAGAATATTAAAGAGTCACAGTCAAAATCAAAATTAATTTTGACGTCAAGGCGGCACAGTGAGCATACCTAACATTTTGTACTGAGCTCTTAAAAACTTTTTTTCCAGACTAAAAGCAATGCAATGCTGAAACAATGGTAACTACAAAATATGTCTAAAGGTTTGCTTTTGTTCATTTCAAAGGTATAATTTTTTTTTTCGTTACTTGTCACGGTTGTGACAATGATGTAGATTGATGTACATATCATTTGTTTTGACCTTTGAATTGTTTTATATATTATAAAGAAATGTTATTTCTTAAGTAGTAATGTCTTATGATGTCTATATGTGACATAAAAGCTTGGTGTCTGTTGATATATGTTATAAGTTGTGCATCTATTGATCATTCTATATAAAAGTCGTATGCATGTGTGTACATAGTTTTGATACTTTCCCTCGTGATTTGTAGATCCCATAAATGGCTATATTTCTTATTATGAGTCAATCTACATTCATATTTAGGAGAACATACTGTAGATTACTTATTTTTTGCGTTATCTTGTCTTTATTGTTGCGAAACGGGGCCACTTTCAAACTATGAATCATTGTTCGTGTTTTATACACAATTATTAACCTAATAAACATAGGAATTGTAAAATTGAAAAAAAATAAAATGTTGAAAGACGGATTCTGTGACATTTATCAAATCCATAATAATTATTGTTTTCATATAAATAATATTTCATCGAATTACAATATATATTCTTATTTTACTTTAATAAGTATTCACTATTGAGTGGTACTAAAGTTTATAAAGTAGCTAAACATTAAAAGATATTGATAAAAGCAACATCATTTAATGTTGCCAATTGTATGCGAGACTATTTAACGAAAATCAAGGTAATTCACGTATCCTGACTCTTAACACCCTTAAGTCGCCATTAAGCTGCCATTAAGCCATTGATTAAAGATGGTTTTCCGTCTTTGGGATGTGAATTTTATTCAAAATATTGTTAAGCAATATACAAAATACCACAATAAAATATGAAATTTATTATACTATAGACTTGATGTGTAATGTATACGAAAATTGATGGTTACTGAGTTACAAACCGTTGCATACTCAGTACTTTGTAAAAGCACACGTTGCATATTTAAAAAGTTCAATAATACACCAGATAAAATTTCGACAAAGCTTAGTGAACAAGCTCTGAAAATCCGATTATTTAATAAGAAGATCAGAATCCAAATTGAAGGGAAATTGCACAAAATGTTCAAAATGTTCACTTCCTCCTTGCTGGCCATTCTATAAAGTACACAAAATATTGATGAATGTATTTCAGATATACATGTATTATTACGGATATATTTCATAATGCATGCTCTTTCTAAGCTAAATTTCAAAATAATTTGATATTTCTATTCCACAATTATAAGGAAAAAAGAAAAATACATTCTTTGGAATATTCTACATCGTATTATATGACATATGCGCAGAAATATGCATATTTCATTTAGTCTGAAACAAATTAAGAATCCCTCTTAAAGTTAAAGTTTATCCAAAAGTGAACTTAACGTAGAAGTTGTAAAATTTGTGCTGAATTCCTCCTAATTTCAACTTAAAGATATTCTTATCATAATTATCAAAATTCATTGATACTAATTTATACTTTTGTTGATTTTTTTATTCATTTATTTAGTTACCATCACATGGTTTTGTATTACAGGTCGAAAAATCAATCGACAAGCCGATGCAGTCAACTCCTCCATTTTTTGGGAAAGGTTTGCTACAACTTCTGATTCTATATTTTGCTCCGACATCACAAGTTTTTGTGCAAGACGACCATTCTCCCCACGAACTCCACCCACCATCAACTACTGTAAACAAATCGAAGACATTTAATCAATTAGCTAATGCATTTTCAATTCCAATACTAGTTCATCGGACGAACTCGAAACAAAGAATATCACGAATTCTTGTATATTTTTTTTAGGTATCTATTAGAAGCAGAGAGATATAGAAAAATTCGTTATTGTTTCCCTGCCACAAAACTGTCTGATAAAGGTGATAACTTCAACTTTTTAATCGTTATCTCCCTTAAAGTGTATAGCAAGGAACTCAATTCAACAGTGTATATATTGTCTTTATAATGATCACAATTATTTATTTTCTTTATTGTTTTCTTTCAAAAGAAAATATGATTGAAAATATAATCCTGTGACAAATTTAAGTTCAGAAATATACAAAGGATGATGTGACATAACTACTATCAGGGGGGCCTTTTTCCATGACAAATAATATTTAATCTATAACGATTTTGATAGTTTTTAAATATGAGTGAATAAATATGATGCCTATTAAATAGTTCCAATAGTTTTGACGAATTTCGATTATAAGGAATACTGCATTATCTATGAATTTTTAGCTCAACTGAGCCGAAGGCTCAAGTGAGCTTTTCTGGTCAAAATTTTTCCGTTGTCTGTTATTGTTGTCGTCGTTGTTGTTGTCGTCGTAAATATTTTACATTTTTATCTTCTTCTCAAGAACCACTGGGTGAATTTCAACCAAACTTGCTACAAAGTATTACTAGGTAAAGGGGATTCAAGTTTGTTCAAATGAAGGGCTACGCCCTTTTCCAAGGGGAGATAATTATGAATAAGAGAAAAATTAATGGCATATTTAAAAAAATCTTCTTAAGAACCACTGGTATAGGAAAAATCTTTACAATCCTCTTCTCAAGAACCACTGGGTCAGGAAAAATGAAACTTATGTGGAAACATTCTTAGGAAGTGTAAATTCAGGTTTGTACAAATCATGACCCCCGGGGGAAGGGCGGGTCCAAAATGGCCAACCAAAGTTTTACATAGAATATATAAGAAAATTCTTTAAAAATCTTCTTCACAAGAAGAGCAAAGCCGTAATTGATCATACTCATGTGGAATCATTTTCAGGTAGTGTAGATTCACGTTTCTTCAAATCATGACCCCCAGGGTGAGGATGGGGCCACATTGGGGTATCAAAGTTCAACTTAGGAATACATAGGAAAAATCTTTAAAAATCTTTTTCTCAAGAACCATTGAAACAGGAAAGATGAAACTCATGTGAATTCATCCTCATGTGCTTTTTCCTAGCCGATGTGCCTAGGTGAGCGATGTGGCCCTTGGGCCTCTTGTTAGACCATATCAGGGCAAATGTCGGCCTGGTTTGTGATAATATGTTCTTTTATGGACAGAGAATAGCGGGTCTTAGTATAAATATATTTAAGCTGAACACTTCTCATAAATAGGCACTGTCAGACAGGTAATATATAAACCGTTCGATTTCGTTACACCCGATTGCACACTCGAAAAACTCGTGTCCGACGTGTAGTACTCCTTTCGTGGTCTTAGATTTTTTGCGTTCATTCCTTGCTTTTTATGTGCATTTTCTTTCTCTAAATAATGTATTGACTTGTATTTTTCGTGATACCTTTGTCCTGTTTTGAAAAAAAAAAAATGATAATTTCATCGCGACCGAGTAGCATGGTTTTGTAAGATGTACGTCTACATTCGTCGGACCTCTACAGCAAAATACATTGAACTGATAAGCGATCTACTTCTTATACATGGATTGTAGGGAGAGCGTTGAGGAACAGGAAATATGGCAGACTATGCCTTTTTAAGAGTAGTGTTCAGCTTTAATAATACACATGGATTCTCAGGGTTGACGGTTTCGGGTCGAGAAATGCACATACTAAGAAATACGTTTAGACCCAGCGAATTACCCTCTAAACACGTTATAAAACTTTGAACTATATATAACTATCAATCAAATGTTTGTTCAATAAAAAAAAAATCTGAAATTTTCGTTAAAAATTTAATATTTTCTCCAGTAGTTCAAAGAATTTTTAAAAGGCCTTTTTACTTTAGTATAAAGATAGGGCTTGTGATACATTGAAACCCTCGTATGACAACTTATGGCAAAAAATTTGAATCAAAAATCGTTTTGATTTATTTTTCTCAAATTTCTTCAGTCAAGCTGTAATTGATTTTTTTCTTGGTATTATTTGTAATAAACATTATACCTTTCAGATGAATGGCCAAAATCGTTATAAAAGCTATAACGGCTATTGTCAGCAACACTCCAAGTACTATTGAAACAATCCTTTGTTTTTGTCCTTCAGCTTTAAAGTTCACCTCACCTAATTTTACATAAAAATATGAGTAATATGCATTGACATATTGTAACAAGTAATGAAATACAGTTTAACATGCCCCATTAATGTATTATGGAGACACTTTCTTAAAAGATCGTTCAATATTTCCCAAAAGCTGTGCTTCCTTACCTCTTTTCAAACCTTCATTTTCAGGACTAACCGAGGACATTGTTTCAGATAGAGTGTTTCCTCTTAAGCATGCCTTTATCCTTTTTATTTTATATGAGCTACACTGAGTATAAAACATTAAATTATATCAAGCTTATTTCAACGTATTTTTGTACTTTACAGACGTATTTCCTTGGAAGCATAATGGACCCTTTAAAAATGATCTTAAATTATATTTGATAAACTTTTTCATTGCTTTATAATTTAAAATTGCATTTCATTGGAGTGCAAGTTAGTCTCCCTCGTGGTTTTATAGTACCGTGAATTTCAATTCACTTAATTTAATTGAATTTTATTGCATGAAATTATTTTGGAGTGTGTATCATCGTCTTAATTCATTAAATTTCTTGTCGCAAAAACAGTGTTTTTTAGTGTTTGAAAAAGAGTGTTTTATTTCAAAGAAGAAAAGGGACTTTAATCTGAAAATCTGAACATTCCTTTTTCAAAATTATTTTAAATCGTGTATGTTATCGAAAATACTTTAGTAAAGTACAGTAATCAAAGTTTCAAAATTTTTACTATAGTGACAAAGTGAATACTGTAGTAAATGTATCCTTCCAAGTACTAAAGATTTTTTTTTCTAAACTCAAAATCATGAGCAAATTACTGTCTCAAAGCTTTGATGACAAAAAGCAGACGCCGGGTTTGAACGGTCGTCAGGGGATGTTCACTTCTCGATATCACTTGATCACACCTCTGATTTTTTGGAAGTCTGTGTTTGCTTTGCTCCAATGTTGCATTGTTTAATGGAGTTTTGCAATTGAATACTATTCGTTATCTCAATTTATTTCATACATGACCATAAAATGTTGCTTTTTGCTATGATAAGAATAAAAAATTAATTTCACAAAGAGAAACTTAGCTGTATTTTCTGTCTGCGACTTTTTGAGGATTATCCTCCTGTAAAGCTTTATGCTCTAAACTATATTTTATCATATTCTAGTGTGCTGTCTACATCATTGACAATATGAACATATGATAATCATTTGTATCCATAAAAAAATTAAATAGAAATTACCAATGAAATTTTAAATTTTAGATACCAGTTATTTACCGGTAAAAGCAAATTTTAGTAGTGTTTACACAAGACATTGAGTGATTTTATTAAGATAACATAAATCGTTATAAATTTGCCATTTGTTTTTTGAATAGATAGTTGGTGGTAGCTAAATTTAGTTTTTAAAGTTTAATTAATGTTTAGCACGGAGTTAGCTCAAAACGATCTTAATTAAGAAAATGTTTGGACATCCTAATCAGAAGAACATTAGACATTTGACATTTTCAGTTAAGTTTTCAACAATAAATGCAAGTAAACAAAGTTTGTAGCATTAGAATATAACCCAAACTTTTTGCAATTGAATGACAATTAACAGTTGTCCTATCTGTTTCAACTATTGAAATTGTGAGCTCACTACATGACACATACATCCTCCCTTATGGTCATAATGGCAAAGTCTATGTTTTGTACCATGGGAGACCCGAAATAAGCGTCAGATCAAAAAGTAAAATTAAAGTGGCACAATTGCATTATGTAAAAATTAATCTATGTAATATCAACGAAGTATATTCAATGGTTTAGACGGAGTTGCGGAAAAGAGATGTGTACCCCTCAGTATAATAGAAAAATGATCATGTCAATGTTTTGCTCTGGGGAAAACCAAAATAGGTGCAGCTCAAAAGGTAAATTAGGAGATGTACAATGAAACTATATAACAAAGATTTTGGAAAGTCTCATTGAATTTCATTCAGTTGTAAAAGAGTAGTTGCGGATAAGAGATGGGTACCTAAAAGCGTAACAGACGGACGTACAGACAGACGGTGGGGCGGATACCACGATCACTATATAACCCCCTACTTTTCAAGTTGAGGGGGTATAATTCAGAGGTAAATTTATATTCAAGCATTAATAAATACCTATATAAAGATAATTCCATTTCCTTTCGCAATTGAAAATATGTTGCTACCATACAAAAAGATAATACATGTAAGTTATCATTTTTTGCAAAGAAGCCTGGGAAATGTTCTACTGTTTGATAACGTTGATTTAGATATCTGTAATTACAATTCATTCGGCATTTGTTTGATTATTTCACAACCTATGTGTGAAAAAATCATTGAATTTGGAAAGCCCCCGTTTATTCTTTTTTGTTTGATTTTCCTGTGGACTGGTACTTTAATTTGAAATGGACTTTACAGTTTGTTATTTGTTTTTAAAAAAGTACAAGCAGAACCTATTTTTTCAAAGGTATTTATCATCATTCAATTTTATGACATATTAAATTAAACAATGCAAATTGTTCATAATTCAATGAAAAGGCAGCACAAAAATTTAGTAATAAGCCTAATTTTTGAGATGTCCACAGACCACAAATTTTCGATGCTATTTTGTCAGATTTTTTATGAATACTTAATCCAAAATATACTTCTCAATTTTTTTTGAAATAACAAATTTAACGAATGACATACCGTAAAGGTCATAAATCGAAAACGAAAATGTAGGCGGATATTTTCGAAACATCTGAATATTGTAGACTGGCAAATAACCACAATGATTTTAATTTCGATATGTTTGCGATTAATCATTTTTCCGCGAAATTAAACCAATCCTGAATGTTATTATCAGTTTTTAAAAAAGTTGAACTGCTCAATCGAAATTTTGAATTAATTACATGCAGCGTAAAATTAAAACCATCGCAACTTTTTTGCGATATCGTGAAATTTTAACATGGTGGAAATAAACGACTAACAGTATTAGATGCATTTTACATATATTTGTATCATTTGTTTTCTTCTGGTAGAGGCACATCATGCAATAAGGAACTAAACATAGTGAATGAAAATTATATGTTAAGTAAACAAAATGAAGGAAATCGCCTTGCACAGAGTTGATTGCACACAAAACGACCAGGTGCGGTATTACTGTACTTTTGCTTATTTATATCTTTACCCGAACAAAAATAAATTGAACATACCAATGCAGTTAAAAAGCTTATGTGTTTCCTAAAATATCGAATATGACAATGTTTTTCATTTCATTTGCAATTTGAAAATATTTAAATATATTATAAAGTATATTTTGTATTTATTGATTTGAACAGTAATCTTTACATAATATTTTATAAAAGAGTTTTCCGCTAGATAAAAGTGCATATTCTGCATCACAACAGTGTATGTTTGTGTGAAACAGTTTATTTCGAATTATCAGAATCACTTAAATTCTACGTGTTTAACAGTGATAAGCTTTTAGTAAAGTGCTTATCAATATTAAAAATAACCTTTGATTGAAATTATTTGAGTACGATTTATATAAGGAAACACATTAGTTAAATGCAGGACAATGAACGATTTCTAATGCATTACCAAATTACCATACAGATGCACGCATTTACCCGAGCTAATTTCGAAAAAGGATCGAGCGGAAAGGTATTCTTGCTATCATGTACAACTCGCAAGTTTTCTCATGATGTATTTTATTTCAATTATTTTTTAAATTAATTGCAATGAAGTATTTTTAATGGGTACGAAGAGCTGTGCTACCAAATCTCCTTCTCTTATATGTTATATATATTAAACTAAAGAGATCATCGATCCTATTGTTTACCAGCAAACACTGAATCCACAGCTGGGCGTAGAGACAAATCCTTTGGATGACACAATATACACCGAGGTATCATAGTTTGCACAAAAGATCCATCAGTGCTGAGTAACCATGATGTACGACTAAAGTAAAGTTCTGCAGTCCTCCACTGTAAAATCGTGGCGTCTTTATGTTATTAAACAATTTTTTTCGAGAGGGAACTTAAAGGAAAACCAATAAAAAAATTGTGAATAAAGTAATTTATTTCTAAATAATATAGATACATTATTTCCCAAAAATCCAGTTTTCTTTTTTAAAAATATTTTCAAATATTCAAAAATTATCCTGGGTCCTATTTAGTAAACCATTTTCTTTTTAATTTAGTACAAAATATGGTTGATGAAAAACATAAAGAAATAGAAGAATAATACATAGTGTATTTCGTGCATGCTGGCTATATCAATACGCAAAATCTAATACGTAACATTTCTTTTATCATAGTCAATATGACAAAAAAAATATATGACATGAACGTTTTATTCTAGAAGACCACTCAAAAGTCGGAGAATCGAAATTTCAGATGACTTTATGGCGAACGAAGTCATGATCCCTTTTTTAAATATAAAATTTATCATTGTAGAGCGACCATCAGACTTCATTCTAGCTGTTGAAAGAGATATGTCGACCAACACTTTAACGTGGATTCGTCCACCGCATGCCGACAATTGAACCGATTTCATATCACTGGACACGAATATGATCGGCAGTGTTACATGTAAGAACGTCACCGATAAAAAGCATTTAGAAAAAATCGTTTTATCAATCAGCATAGAGGCTCACCGTTTTATTGTTGCTACAAAAGATACAGAAGAGTTACGCTGTGCCACTAATCTTTATTAGGTTTTTTTTTTCAAGCATCATGGTCTGGTTTTACTCCTGCTGCAGGACAAAGGTCAGTTCCGCTACGTTACTTACGCTATGTCACTGTCTTTAATGACTTCCAAAAATGCTTCAAATGTGTGAAATTGTTGACAAATCTAGAGATCTCGAGGATCAGTTCAATATCTCAGCATTATTCCAATTGAATATATCTTGTGTATTGACAGGCAATGTCTTTTTGGCAAAATCCTCGCATTTTCTCAATCGAGGCAAGGGGAAGCACCAACAGAATCCATGATGTTTTTATTTCTTCAAACAATTTCAAAGTTACCCTGCTGCCTTTTTCTACCCCAAACCATAAAACTTCCGCCACCGTAACAGTCACATTGGATACTGTATGGCTGTATTTGGTTGAGATGGAAGCTACACAAAATATTGAAATTTAAATGTGAATTTATAACCAATTACAATTTCATGTACCAGTTTAACGTGATTAAAACCTATGTGTTAATTTTATATCAAATATTGTATTTCATTTCCATTGCTGTGTGTTTCATAAAACATTCTAAATTGCTATTCTTCTTT